CGCCGCCAAGTTCGGTACAAATGGCAGACGGGGCGCAGCCAGAGCGCCAGATCCTGCAGGATCCTGCAAAGCTCGGGGGTGGACAGAACCCGCACCCCGACACGTCGAGTAGTGAACTGTCAGCTTTCGGTCCTCGAGGGGGTTCCGCGGCCGTCCTTTTCCTGGCTTGCGCCCGCCAGGTTTGGGCCCGAGGTCGCTGTCACGAAACAGCGTCTGGCTACATGGGGTTCTGCCCATCCCCGAAAAGCCAGATTTAGATCGGGTGTGCCCTTTCGAATAGCCATCCCCGAAAAGCCAGATTCTTCTGAGCCCAGGGTGGGGTGGCCGCTCGCGGCCCTGGAGGTGGCCCTGTGTCACGTATTGGCGGCGAGCGAAAGGGGGGGAAGTGAAGGGTTCGAAAGGCTCGGAGGAGGGGAAGGCCTTCGCATAAGGTTGAGGAGGCTCGGAAGAAAGGCTGAAAAGGGAAGGTCTTCTCAGGAGGCTCGGAAGTCCCTCGGCCTGCTGAGAATTGTCCTGCGCTTTCCCCAGAGACAGAAAACGATTGTTCAGAAGGCGCGAGGGCTTCTGAGAAGTCCCGCCGCCTTCTGAGAAGGCCTTCTTCTCATATTCACCCCTGGGCTTGACTCGGGCCTGTCCCTCTACAGGGGGAAGATTCACAGATTGGCAAAACATAGCACGGGGACGACGTGTTGAGTAGCTGCTGCTTTGCTTTCTCAGTATGTTTTGGATACGTTGTATCTCTCGTCCAATATCCCCCTGTAGGAGGACATGCCCGACCTAACTCCAGGCCCGCCGCTCAACGTAGTGGCCCAGCCGGCTTGACGACGAGCTGGGTCGGGGTCCACAGCCGCGTGGCGCGCGGGCGCTCGGCCCGCGCGGGTCTCTTTCTGTTCCCCCTACATCTCGGGTCGAACGAGAGGAGGAGGAGGAGGAGGCTCCAGGAGGAGGAGGAGGAAGAGGAGGAGGAGGGAAAAGGAGGAGGAGGAGGAGGAGGAGGAGGAGGAGGAGGGAGGAGGGAGGAGGGAGGAGGGAGGATGGGAGAGGGAGGGGGAGGAGGAGGAGGGAGGAGGGAGGGAGGAGGGAGGGAGGGATGGAGGGAGGGAGGGAGGGGGGAGGGAGGTGGAGGAGGAGGAGGAGGAGGAGGAGGAGGTGGAGGAGGAGGAGGAGGAGGAGGAGGAGGAGGAGGGAGGAGGAGGGGGAGGTGGAAGAGGAGCCCTGGGCTCGCCGCTTAACGTAATCCTCAGCCGGGTTGGCGACGAGCTGGGCTGGGGTCCACGCCCGCATGGCGCGACGGCGCTCGGCCCGCGCGAGTCTTTCTCTATTCCCCCCATCCCTCGAGTCGAACGAGAGGGGAGGGGGGGGGCCCAGAGATCCAACGCATTGAAAAAATCAAGACGGAGGTTTTTATTGCGGTTTCTGGCCTCTCGGGGCCCTCGCCGGACCTCGGGGCCGCCCAAAAACGACTCGGGACGAAAAGCCGGTCAGGAGGAGGAGGAGGTGGAGGAGGAGGAGGAGGAGGAGGAGGAGGAGGAGGGAGGAGGAGGGGGAGGTGGAAGAGGAGCCCTGGGCTCGCCGCTTAACGTAATCCTCAGCCGGGTTGGCGACGAGCTGGGCTGGGGTCCACGCCCGCATGGCGCGACGGCGCTCGGCCCGCGCGAGTCTTTCTCTATTCCCCCCATCCCTCGAGTCGAACGAGAGGGGAGGGGGGGGGCCCAGAGATCCAACGCATTGAAAAAATCAAGACGGAGGTTTTTATTGCGGTTTCTGGCCTCTCGGGGCCCTCGCCGGACCTCGGGGCCGCCCAAAAACGACTCGGGACGAAAAGCCGGTCACGGGGAAAGGGTCGGGACTTCCAGGGACCCGGCATTGAAAATATCACGATATCGGGTTTCTGGGGGTGTGACAGGAGCGGCCTGCAGCTAGTTGGTTTCGGCCTCGCCGCCGGGCGCCTTACTCGACATATTGGCACCTCCGGTGCCGGGAGGCGCCAGGGCAATCGGCTACTACGCGAGACGATGCGCTGACCCCCCCCCTTTTTATCAGGGGCGGCCAAGAGGGGGGTGATGATTTGGGAGGAGGGGCAGGAGGAGGAGGAGAAAGAGGAGGAGGAGGAGGAGGCGGGGGAGGGGCGGGAGGGGGAGGAGGACAAGCCAGGTGCGCTCGCGTCATATCTGACATCCTACCCCTCCCTCCCATCCCTTACCATGGCGTAGATCCCCTCTCTACTCGCACAGTCGGACGTCGAGCAGGGCAATGATCCCGAAAGGCTACGCGATGCATTGTAGAGCACGGCATGGCATGGCGTAGAAGAGCACCGCAAAGCCTAGTATCAACCTAGCATTGCATTGCATGCCGTGGCATGGCACGGGAATTGACGCCAGCGCTGCAGCGGGAGCACGAGTCGGAACAAGCGGAAGCGCGGAAATGAGGCCAGCGCTGCAGCGGGAGCACGATTCGGAACGAGCGGAAACACGGAACTGAGGCCAGCGCTGCAGCGGGAGCACGATTCGGAACGAGCGGGGCCCGAAAATGAGGCCGGCGCCTCAGCGAGAGCAGCATTTTGGAACAAAAATGCAGGCGATAACCCAATTCCAGGGAATCTTGTGTGCAAAAAAACAGTACGTGGGGGGGGTAACACTTTCAAGCCGTCATCAGGGGAAGAGGGAGAGTAGTATTCATATTGAGTAACTGTGGAGGAGGAGGACGAAGAGTTGGAGGAAGAAGAAGAGGAGCAGGAGGAGGAGGAGGAGGAGGAGGAGCGGTGGAGGAGCACGTGGGGGAGGAGGGGCCAATGAACAAGAAAGGCGCCCTCCCCTCGGAGGAGTGGGGCCCGGCTGATGACGCCGCCGCGCCAGCGCCTTGGCAGGGCCAGGAGCACCGGAAGCGCAACGGCCGGAGGCGGAGGCCCGGGCTGCCCCGCGCGGCAGCCCTGGTAGCGGATCGGATCGGCGTCGCTTGGCCGTTCCTCCTCCTGCTCCTCCTGTTCCTCTTCCTCTTCCTTCTCATCATCCTCTTTTTCCTCGCTCATCACCATCATGATCATCATCATCAGCACCATCAGCATCATCGTCATCATCATCCTCATCATCATCATCATCACCATCATCACCATCATCATCAGCATCATCACTATCATCATCATCATCATCATCATCATCATCATCATCATCATCATCATCATCATCATCATCATCATCATCATCAAAGGCCGCCGCGCGCTCAGGCCTTTGCAGTAACAGCGGCCTTTCAGCAGCACCCCCCCGCCGCTCGCGGAGGCGGAGGGCCGTCGACGGCACCCCGCTCAGCAGTGCTATGTCGCGCGGATGGTGTTCCAGTGTGGGGGCACCGCGCGCCTGAGGCAGCACCAGAGGACGCAGGCTCGCGGCCCACAATGCGATAACCACCAGCCCGCTGCACCAGCGCATGTCGGACCAGCCGCGCGAGATCGACTCGCAACCCTCGACGACGTACCCACATGTCCTGCGCCGACTTCCACCGCCCATGCCGAACACCTTCGACACGAATCTAGATGCTATCACGTCGGATTTCGTTTTCCCGAACCCGTCGCGCGTGAATTACAGCCAGCTGGTGAACGCAGATGCGAATTACATGTACTTGAATTTCACCACGCTCGAGCTCCAGGGACCACGATTTCACCACCACTCCGACTCCAGCATGCGATCCACGCGGAGTTCGCCACGACCACCATGAAGATCAATTTCAAGCCGACCGCGAACCCAGAGGTGCCCGACGCCCACACACCCTGCACGACACCCACGACGGCCAGGACCCCACGCCCGCCGGCGACTCCGCCGTACGCCGCCACGCCGTCTCCACCAAGCCGCTCACCTTCATGGGCTGGAACCCTTTTCTCTCTCAAGAGCGAGCTTGGCCGCTTGGGCTACATCTCCGACACATGCCGCCACGTCCAGGCGTTCATCTTTGTCGGAACAAAGCTCCGACAACGCACCGCTGACGCTCCACGCCACTTTGGGGACTCTATCCACCACACCTGGGCCCACTTCGGTTGGGGACGCGGCGCCCACACCAACAGCTCGGCGGGATGCGGCATCGCGATCGCCTGGCGCCATCTCCGACGCCAGGACATCGTCAAGATCTCCCACCCACCAACGGCCGACTTGCGGGGCCGAGCAGGCGCCATCGAGCTCCACCGAGGTCAGCTACGCCTTCGCACCGTGGCCGCGTACTCGCAACCACGCCCGAGTGGGCCTGGTCACCATGCCCAATGGCAGCTGGGACGCCGACGACTAATTATGGACTTGGGCACAGACCAGCATGACCACCACGCCGACGAAGGTCACACCACTCCTCTTCGCTGACCTCGACCAGGGCCTTGGACGCCGTGCACGACGCCTCCACGCCGACTACGCCGTCGGAAACCATCAGGCCCACGACGAGTCCAAGTTCGGCCGCCACGTCCACGACGGGCTGCTCCACCACGAACTCACCGCCAGCAACGCGCACACCGTCGCGGGCTATACGCACTACGGCCCGAAACACCCCCGCCCCCGCATCGACTACTTCATCGGCCACCACACCGTCCGCGAGATCGTCAAGTACGTCCGCTTGAACTGGAAGATCCACAGCCGCCTTCGCGCCCGCCACCACGCACCCGACCAGAACGGGGCCATGGCATCATGGCCGCGCTCTTACAGACAGGCGAGAAGCGCGGCGAATTCATCCGCGAGGTTGCTCGCCACATCGACCACCACCGCGAGGTCTTCCGCGTCGCCAAGATGGACCAGTTCCCCACCCGCCACAACGCGCTTCTCAACATCATCAGGACTTGCGCAAGCCGCTACTTCACCAGGGAAGGCTACCAAGCACAATGGCACCAGCAGGCTCGACGAGATCGACTTGAACTATTCAAGCGCCGCGCCCACCTACGAGCTCAACGCTTGCCCTTCAACAGCGTCGTCCTCCGCGACGTTCAACGCCAGCTACGGAATCACCAGCGATGGATGGACTACAGGTGGAAGGTCAGCATGGACCAGGACATCCGCGACTCGCGGGCCTGCCGCGGACCTCGCCTGCTTACGTGCGGGGCGCCGCACTGCACCACGACGACGCTCCTACCTGTCGCGCCCCTTCACACGCCCCACCGCTGCCGAACGCGCCGCCGCGCTCGCCACCGACGGCGCGAGAGGTGGCCTCACCGCCGCGCCCGTGCACGTCAGCCTCTACCTCGGCGACCCGAAGTCCATCGAGCGCCTCCTCGCACGCAGCGACGACCAATCGGCACCGGTCGGTGAGATCACGGGCCCCCCAGCATCGAGGACATCACGGCAGCGGCAGAGGAGCTGGAGCACATGCAGAAACGTCCGTGGCAGGCGAAGCGCCGACGCTACAACCCACCGCGGGGCTGGCCGCTGGAGGTCACCACCATGCTCTTGCACCGGCAGCACCTCGCACGACCTGGCGCAAAACGCGCAGGACTTGGACATGCTAGCGCCGACTACCAGCACGCCGACCCCCTTGCCCGACACCCGCGGCAGCCCCCCAAGCGCAAGCTGAAGCTCGACTATGATCAGTGCTACGCAATCGCGCAGGCCTTCGTCACCCCACCTACCCACACCCACGACAGCGGATCTTCCAGCTCAGGATTACGCGACCCAAGCAGTGGCGATCGGAAAAAAAGGGAAGGCCCCCGCTGGCGACGTCACCGCCGACATTCACTCGTGCGTGCGGCTACTTCATTGTTATGATCACTTCTGGCGGCTGCATCTTCGCGTCGGACTACTGCAATTTGGCGCCGCCCACGCCCCCCCTGACTGGGCCCGCGGAGGGATCCGCTCTAGACGCCGCGAGGCCTTCATGCTGATGGCTGAGCTTATGATCTGGAAGCTCCGAGCTGCGCGTCTGGCGTTCCTGGCCTAATCCTATAACGGGCGCAATGCCGCTGCGATGGGGCACCACCTGCGTCTCATCGCCGCGCGCGCTGTTCGGCGTGAAGATGATCACTTTCAGCCACTCCTCGAACAGCATCGCGAGGAAGCGGCAGTGCACGTCCAGGCTTCAGACCCCCCCTTGCTCTTCGGCCATGAACGGGGGGGGGAGATTCGAACGAACGTGAATTATGCATGGGATCGTTTTAGCCGTTGGTGCCCAGATCGAACGAGGAAATGGCCGAAGTCCAAGGGGCCCCTTTTTCAAGTAGCGCGCCCTTGCTCGGCCGAGAACTACGACGCGCACCTTGGCGCGTTCATCGATGACTTTGTTAACATCCTTCTGGTACCCGACGGCACCGCGCTCCAGGCCCTCCAGTTAGATGCGATCGACAACCGCTCCCCCCCCCCCCAGGCCCTGGACTACCTTGGTTTCTCTGGGTACTCACCGGGCTACTCGGGACGTCGAGCGCAACATGTCGGGCAATGCGGCCCAGGACCTCATTCACTTGGGGGGCCACGTCAACGTGGTCAACAATAACCGTCGTGAAATCGAAGCACGAATACAATCTGGGAACGTAGGACACGCCCTGGAGACTACTGGTTCCCGGGCGGCCCCTGGAAGGCCAAGCGGCGATCGTTTGTGTCTCACGTCGCGGGACGTATGCGGTCAGGACTGGAGAGCTACGCCCTTCGCCCACGGGAGCTACATCGTCTAGACAGCGCACTAGCACGTAAACTTCGAGCTATGGTGAGAGGTGCGGCGCATCACCTCGATGAGCAGGAGGCCCATCATTCCCTCGCAACCCATCAGGTGTTTCAAGAGTGGCAGATAGCCCCGTCGGCCATCGAACTACTCGTGCGCGGACTAAGCTGGTGGCAGAGCATGGTGCGTAATCAGACCCACCAGCCAGTTCCTCGCTACCTTCTTGGGCGATGTCGCTTCGAGCAGCAGGCGGCCATGAGTCACCGCCCCGCCAGTGCTCTTACCCTGAACGAGCAGGGTGGAATCCCCGCCGGTCCGAGCGTTCACCCGTGGGCCAAGCTGCTCGCGGATGACCTGTCGCGCCTGGCTTCACATCCCATCGGCGAGAGTTCGCAGGAGGCGTGGCAGCCGCCCGTTGTTAAACACTTATGTGAGGATGAGCATGTTCGGAGCGCCTTCCAACATTGCGACGCTCGTGCACTCAGAGCCTCCAATTGGACCTCACAATGGGCACCACGTGAGACCAGCGCGTCGCCCCCCCCCCCGTCTTCTCGACGACCTCATACGACGAGACGGACAGCGACGACGAAATCAATCGCCCCTTCGCATGTCAAATTCCTCCTTGTGGGCTGCGGCTTGGTACTCTTAAACAGTTGGTCACACATCGGTCGAAATCTCGGTGGGGGCGGATATGGCATGCCATCACACCTCACAACATTGCAGGTCGACAACACATGTATCGCATGCCAGACTACGTTTCCAAACCAGGATCATTCTACACGACATCTACGACGTTCATGGAGTGCTGGTAGGTGTCTAGCGGAGCTCACACCTCATGCATATCCACTGCATCAGGCTACTCGTGCACAACAGCGTCCCCGTCGCGAATATGAACTCGACCCCGCCTGTCAACACAAATTTTGGGACTATCCTAAGTACCGAGCCCATCTTCTCTCGCATCTTCCGCCGTCACCATCGGGTTCGATTCTCAAGCCCACTGTCAGGACTGAGGCCTGCCCGACGAAGTCGGGCCCAGCACGGCCCCGAGCCGGCGCTCCCAGACCCGCGTTTCGGCCACCTCGTGCGATCGAGGACGCTCCAGCAACCAGAGCAGCCCTCCGCCGATCAGCGGACCTCATCTTGGGCACCAGCAAGGCCCCTCGACGTCGGCCGCGCGTCGCTCGACCGCCACGTCGGCCAGCAGCGGCCCCGACAGCGACGCCAGCAGCGGCTCCATCCTCCACCGCAGCGTCGACGTCCACACTGCCAGCACTACTGCGTGAGCACGACGA